GTTGGACTTCCTGGGCTTTAATTTTAACCCAGGTGTCGTCAACATATCTGAACCACTGGCTCGGTGGTGTCCCTGAAAAGGACATCAACTGAAGAAGAGACTGAAGAAGTCTCTTGGAGGAGAGACGAAACGTTTCATTAGAGAAGAACCCGTCCAGAAGACCTATACAATTTTTTTCTTTTTGATTTTTTACCTGGATTACTGAGATGCATCAGGACAACACACTGCATTACCCCACAAATGTGCATAAACTAAAATTACATGAACTGTTTAATGAGAACACACAAGTAAAAACAAAAAGAAAGCAAACTGCACGACAGAGCAACCACTAAACAATAAAAGGCGATGAATGTTTTTGCAAAAACACAATAAAATAATATTTGACTGACATCAGTGTTTGCTGAATTCAAACAATAATAGCTTGATTACATTTCACACATTTTCCGTTGCTCGTTTCTTGCTGTCAAACTGATGGTAGGGGATATGAAGAGCATGTAGCCAGTCCACACATATTTGTTCCACGCTCGATCAAAAAATACCTGGTGGAGTAAAAAAAAGGACAGATGTGAGCGACAGTAGAAGGTAATCCTAACGATGAAACACAAGCAGAGGCTATATTTACCCGTCCTTTCCCCAGGCTGGACCCCAAGAGTTCTTCACAATCCAGTATGCCTTGCCGTTCTCCTCAGAGCCAAAACCCACAGCCAGAACAGCATGATTCACGCTGTCAGCTGTCTTCTTACACTGAGCGCTAAAACAGACAAACCACATCAATATGACAGAAATCTTTTGTTCTACGAGTGGGCTGCTTCCATAAACATGGCATTTTCCCTGCGAATAAGAAATGCTTTATTTTGTGCAACAAAACCTAATGAATTGTGCCGTTCAACGCCACCGGTTGAAGGAGAACTCAGTAGGTAAAGAGAGTTCACCGAGGCCCCACAAGCCTCAATAAGGAGCCATCAGACCCTCACAAAGGTCCAGAAGCTGTTCAGGTGGTCCTCTCACCTGGAGTAAACACCATCCTTGTAGTGCTTAAAGTCAGACGTGACATCAAAAGAGACGGTGATGGGGTTGAGTCGAGCCACAGCATCCACCATGGCCTTTTCATCATTCTGTGCATCGACAGGAACAATAAGTTTAAAGCAGAATAAATACATAAATATTAAATATGAGCCTATTTGTAAGAAGAAAATCAGTTCATTTTCCTGTTTGTTTCTGGTTCGTAGACTAAAAATGCTCTCACAGAGAACTAATCCACTAACTAAAAATAAAGCTAACGCTAATCACTAAATTAAAACAAAAAAAGCAGAAGCTAACACTAAACAGTAAAACAAGTAAAAATAAATAAATAACAGGTCACTCCCCAACTTTTTATATTACTACTGGGCGGCCAACGTTAGAGCCTTACTGTACTGGTTGAGAGACAACAATGCTGTTCCTACTTGGGTAAATCTAGAGAGGAAATCAGTCACGGCGAGCTCTCTCTCTGCTTTACTTTGCTCCCGGTTACCGTTTAATCAACCCATCTCAACTTATACTTCTAATCCGGTTGTAACTCACACAATAAAAATCTGGAATCAGTGCAGGAGGTCGTTTAAAAGTACAGAATTATTGTTGTCAGCTCCAGTGTCAAATAACCATTTGTTTGCTCATTCACTAATGGACTCTGTTTTCAAT